CCCCAAAACCCCAAAACCCCAAAACCCCAAAACCCCAAAACCCCGTAATTCTTCAATAAAATTGGAATTATAAAATTATGATAAAGTTGAGTTATGTTAAGGGAAGTAAATAGTTTATCTGAGCTTGGGCAATCTAGGCAAACTTTGGCAAGATTCTATCGGTATCGTCTTATTTTCTATATGAAGTCAGTTAGGGTATGAAATCATTTGTTTAAGGAAGACTTTAACTAATATTATGTATGGGTAAGTGAATTTTTAAAATAATTTGAATAACTTACTTTTAAAAACCCTTTTCTTGTACTTCACCACATCCTTGATGGTATTATTCATCATGATTGTCAATGCTTTGGCTGAAGGGATTTTCTTTGGCTTTGGAAGGACTTTTAGCTTTCTCTCATTTGAGTGCATATTAATATACGGAGACTTTATGTCACTCTCTATTCAGTGTAAATCAGGAAGCTTACCTTTAGTGCTATCAGTCTCTGTTTCACATTCTGTGTTTCAGTACTTTGATAAGATCTCCATCTTCTTGTTCTCCCTGAACCTTAAATGGGGAGAACTTAAGACTGAAGAAGATCCTTTGAGCATTTTAGGTGATCTAATTTCAAGTTTTTGGGTCGATTGGGAAGTTCAAAGTATATTCCCTCTTGTATACTTATTTGACCCTTTTGCTCAATTTTTTAGGGTTCTGTTAGGAGTAAATACCCCAGCTTCAATATCTCTTGAAATTGACAACTTTGGAGGCTTTATGTTGTCAAGAGACTCTTGAGGATACTCTTGGATAGTTTCCATAGTAGGACTCAGGAAGACCTTGGGTATTGTCTGGAAGCTTTTAGTATTCCTATAATACCACTTAGGATCACCAGAAATGAGGAAGGAGAAATGAGTAATGAGAATTAAAGGTCATACCTCCTGAGAAGCCTGCCTGGCCTGAATTTCTTGTATTTTGCTGTTAGACCTAGATATGTAAGCTCTATGAGACTTACTTTGAGGGCTACCTGGTTCTTGAGGATTGGAAGTGGTATTCCCAATTAAAGACTGACTTTTATTCTTTGTTATCTTTGGAGTTTGATAGTTGTTTCCAAAAATCTTCTCAACTACAAAAAATTAGACACTTACTTTTTATATAACAGTCACTAACCTTCCTCCTAAAATCAGAACAAATCTTAACCCAAGTTGTACTAAACACCTATAATTTATTGGTGGAAGCATCTAAGATTACACTTTCCACGTAAAAACCAAATGGGGTTTTGACCATAAGACTAGTAGGGTTAATAAAATAGGCAATAAATTTACTTCTTAAGTGCCCTGACTCCAGATGCGTCTTCTTTTTCATAAAAATAATTTTAGAATTCCGGCTGTGACCAGAAGACAGAGGAAGATTGTTTCAGTTCCGATCTCATTTGTTCTCATCGTTACTATATAAGCAGGTTGAAGTGAAGCTGAAGTGGAATAGAGAGCTGATTGCAAAAAGGGTAGAAATTTGATAGATTTCGATGCTAACAAGACCAGGTGAAATTAACCAGGATATGTTATTCATAGTGGCTTTTTAAAATGCAATATTGAGAAAAATGGCAAATAAGGTATCCGTCTAAGAAGAAATTATAGTAACTTTACCTTGTGTTGATCTTCAGATCAGAAACAGCCTGGCGAGTTTTTGATGCTTTTGGTTTAAAGATTATAAGTTTCTTTCCAAGTTTCATTTTTATCTTAATATTATTATTGTATTTACTACTCTTTTATGCTCTGGGGTTTTGGGGTTTTGGGGTTTTGGGGTTTTGGGG